GGAGTCAGAGTGGGGGTGGATTGGAGTTGTGACTATGGGGTTATGGGCATGACGTTGATGAATGGAGACGAGGGCGGTGGCGTAGGAGGCGGCGACATTGGTCAGCCCGAAAGGGTACGGGGATGGCGCCGTTGCCATGCTCTGCTCCGTCAGAGCTGGCTCCTCGGGAGGAGGCGGGACAAAGCTTGATGATGGGGTGTCGCTGTGCGCCACCGGCCCTTTTCCCCTGTCGAGGCTTAAGCCGGACAGGTCCCCGTGCAGGGACTCTGTGCCAGCAGCGGGGTATGGGATTCCGGTGGAGCACAGATCGGCGTTCTGTACTTGCGTGGTGTTAGGGTGGACTCGCCCGCGCGGCGCTCGGCGAGCTTGACGGGAGCAGCGGCCCGGGCGTCGTCCGCGCATGGGCTGCCGGTGCAAGACGTCATCGTTGGTTGATGGCGCTCTGGGTGAGAGGAGTACCATGTCGTACTCGTGCCCTAGAGACATGAATTCTAGGCTCCCGAACCAGACGATCATCCCGAGACGCAACGATCGCACGGGATCTGCCATCCGGAATCTAGTGGGATGACTAAGCTGACACGCAGAGGCCCCTACCTGGTGCGCCAACTGTCGGTGTTTCGGAACCGGGGGTCCTTAACCGACTAGTGAATTTATGCTGCGTGCTCCCTCTTCTGGATGGAGATGCAAAGAGACACAAGGTTTATACTGGTTCGGGCAATGGATGCCCTACGTCCAGTTTGAGAAGATGTTCTTATATTCCTTGCACCGGGGTGCTCGTAGTAGGGGGTTACAAGCTAGGCGAGAGAGGGAGTTCGTCCCAGATCTCTGTGAGGGGAGGTGATATGAGTTACAGAACGAGGCGTGTTGTTCGTGCGAGTATCTGTGATTCTCTCCGTCATCTTGGAAACGGTCCTGGCTGCCTCCTTTTATAGCCGCAGGGAGGAAACCAGGAGTACATAAGAGAGCTACACGTGGAGCAAGGACTATTCGATGACGTATTTACTCCTAGAGCAGCATGGCGTTGTCGTGGGAGTTCCCGTAGATGTCTAATCGGTATGGTCTTCACTGTAAGTAACATGCTGCGCATTTATTGACTTGGTGGATTACAGAGGCTCGGCGGCCATCGTAGCCGGTCGTGCCGAGGCCTGTCGTGCCGAGGCCTGTTGTGCCGAGGCCTGCATTGCCGAGGCCTGAGAAGTGACCCAGGTGTAGATGCGGGTCTCAGCAGCCATCAGGCGGAATAGTGCGAGACGTGCGCCTACAGGATATGGTACCTGTGTTGTCAGTAGGGATGGTAAAAAAGGTGATCTGACCGTTGTCCCGTCGCTCCTGTTGCAGCGCACTGCCGATCGTGGCTTACGTAGTGGGTGCGGCCGAGCGCATTAATCGGATGTGATAGCCTGCCAGAGAGACTTTTGAGGCGGAGGCGACGAGGTTGTGGGACGAGCCTGGCCTCGGGCGAGGCGGAGCGTGGCCGATTCGTCCGAGGCCCTTCCGAGGGGGTCTCGGGCGAGGCGGACGGGCGAGGCGTAGTAAGATCAGTGAATCCGAGGCCCTGTCGAGGGGGCTCGGGCGAGACAGAGTGGTCGGTCCGCTGATTCCGAGGCTACAGGAACCCGTTCTGACTCCCCACGTTGCAATGTCCTTGGTGCAGGAGTTAGGCAGCACAGTGGTCGGTAACCCCTGCTCTGTGCCGTCTCAGATGGCAGGGGGTTGACGCGACCGGCGTGTAGCCGGTCACTTCGCCGTTCTGTGTCATCGTGCGTCTGTCGGAGTGGTTGGGCGCCTGGATGTGACATTCGATCAGAGCAGTTTGGTCAAAAAGGCGGTCACGGGGTTGGTGCCGAGCCGGCCTCGCGCGAATCGGAGAATCGGCACTTCTTCCGAGGCCCCGGGCGAGGGGGCCTCGACGCGGGGGCCTCGGCGAGGCGGTCTCTGGCGAGTCGGAGAACCGTTTGCTTCCGCTGGGGCTCGGCGACGGGGTCTCGGGCGAATCGGAGATTTCGGCCGAGACCTCGTTTGTTTATTCCGTTGGTTCTGTTTTTAGGGTCTAAGCAGTTTTTCGATCTTTGCTTGGGGTACCCCATTTTCTGGTATCCGACAAATTTATCCAAAAAAATAGCAATAAACAAAAGGGTTGTGACATCATGTATGTGCTTGTGTGATCTTATTGAGGCTAGTATGTAGAACGTACTAAGGAACGAGACAAAAACCAAAAACCTTATGGAAAAGGTTTGATTAACAGTAACATACCTAGTGGCAGAGCCGGATGCACTCGAAGACAGAGTGTCTGTCGGTGTAGTCGTCCCACTCGGCGTAGTGCAGAGGAGTAGCAGTGTCGATCACCGGAGAATCTTCGTTAGCGAGTAGTCATGCCGCCAGTGACACTCCCTAAAAAAGTGATTGTCGCCTTTCACCCGAGCAGACGAAACCGAAGATGGCAGGCGCTTCGGAGGCCTACTCTCCTAGGACTTGTGCATGCAAGAACTGGGACGGAGAAACTTTGAGGCAGCGTATGAGTGATTGTTGCTAGCCAAGAACGATGATAGATGGCCAGGAAGACAATTTAAGCCATCCGCCGGGTAAGCGAACGGGCACAGAGGAAGATCAAGCGCCGGGAGACTAGATAATTCTTGCCATCATTGCCACAGTGGAAACGGATGAAACTCCCGTCATCAAATCACCACTTAAACAAAATGGAAGAAACTCCCGTAATTATGCGACTTGATCGGCAAAACCCACGCACGGCCTCGGCTCGGAGTTGCCACAACATTACATCATTTGGTACAAAAATAACTTACATCAGAGTGCGGAAGAATTATAACATTAGTTTACAAAACTTGTTTAAGTAAAACTTAATTTAAGTTCTAAAAGGTGAGTAGACTACAGAAGAACAACTTAGATGAAGCATCTAAGGTAGAAGAGGTGGCCAGATCATGTTGAGCCCACAAACATGACCTCAATGAGCAACTCAGGTCAGATCCTGTAACAGGGGTTAATAAACCCTGAGTACTTGAGAGTACTCAACAAGTCTTACCCGACTAAAAGAAAAGACTCCAAAGATATGCAAGCTTAAAGGTAAGGTAGAAGCAAGAATAACTTTTGCAGTGTCCTTTTCTCAACTTCTCCACATAGGTAGACAATATCCACCCATAAAAATTGAGTCACCCAGCGATCAAAATCTCCTATGGTATTAAACAAAAACCAGCACACCATTTATTACGGGCCATGAGTTTATTAGATTAATTAAATATTATATGGACCAAGCCCATAATGGCCCCGTTCGGCTTGCTGAAACTTGGCTGAATTGGCTGAAAAACACTGTTCTGGCTGAATTATTGTGAGAGAAAAATATTGTTTCGGTTGAAAAAACAAGATGAATAGTGCGGATTATAAGGTAAACCGAATGGGGCCAATATATATCCAACGGGAGGCGGTCGGGCCAGGTCGGGGCGTGGGCGTCGCGGCCGTTATTGCCGGAGTTGGAGAAGAAAGCGGCGGCGGGAGGGGGAGGGGAAAAGGAAGGCCACCGCAGGCACAGTAGGGTCTCGCTAGAGCTCCGCAGCCACGGCGGGGCAGTGGGCGACGGTGGGGTCGGGCGAGCAGATGAACAGTGCTGTGGCTTGGCATACTGATATGCAAGGTTGTTTCCTCATCCGACAGCTCACATTCGTCACCTAAAAACATCCGAAATTTCATGCGCCTGAGATTTAGCAATTCCCTATTATATATGCTTTGTTAGGCGAGATTAATTCCAAGTACTTAGGTTGCTCCTGACCACGGCAAGTTGCCTAGACACGAATTTTGGTGGACCTGTCTTATGTGCCAAATCTCAGTTATGGCCGAGATCAATACAAACATAAGCGAGCAGCTTACCAAGTACATATCGCTCTCGTTCATTTCATTGCTGCCCCAAAGGCCTTCCAATCCTATATGGATGCTTGTCGCACAAATCTATAGAATGTTTGATTTTGAAAATTAATTCATTCTAAATGAGGTAATACATTATAGATCCATATGTTAATGATTATTTAGTGGAATAAGACGACGATAGATCAACTCATTTTATTCCGCAAATAAAAAAAAAACTGGGTAGAATGATAATGATCTAACTCGTTTGACAACCACAAACACCCTCTTAGTTCGTCTTCTCAGCCTAATGGTCTAATGGTCTACTAGCTACTTTAGCTGCCGCCGAAAACGAGCTCCTAGTTGCTATAACATGCTGCTGCGGTGCTGCCTAATGAACGAGTTCCTCGTTGAAGGCATCGTTATGCTGCTGAGTGCTGACGAGTTCACGGTAGAACAAGCTCTCTTGCTCGTCGATTGTGGCTGGGACTGGACACTAGCTAGGGGATGGGAAAAGTTTGCTGCTAGACAAGAAAGAGAAACCAAACACACCAAAGGAATCCTGTATAGTCAAGGACTCAAGGTTAAGCAATGCTAGGAAAGGTTTCAAAGGTCAGCAGCGCGGTAGAAACAGGAGGCGGTTTCCAGGGAGGCTGCAAGCCAGGCTCGTTTGCTCTGTTCGCTTGGCTGTAGCTAAAAGTATGGTTGCTGATTTGTCATGAGAGAAAAATACTGTTTGTTGGTCGAAAAAGTACGGCTTATAAGTCAAGCGAACAGGACGGTTTACACTCCCACATCTTTCTTCGGCCATTTTTTTCAGCAGTGACCTCTCTCCTCACAAGCGTGTGAAAACGGAGGTGCATTTTATGGGGTTGCAAAGATTTGCTGCTTGGTGCTGCGTGATCTGTCTTTAGTTACACACCTACACCGAAGATCAACGACAGTTATCTCCGGTGTATCTCTACAGTTGGCACTGGTTGGGTTGAATGAGCGCAACCACTGCGAGTGCGAGATTTATTTGCCAACTCTGTCAGTGCTACTAATCATCTGGTGCAAAAACATCAGGGGTAGGTGTCCATTGTACCACATCAACGGCGTATTTTCATTTATTTTGGAATTGTACATTACATTACATGAGTTAGCCCAAGGTCTTAAAGAGCAGCAACATTATGTCCACTCCTGGGAAATATACAAGGTCTACAGCACCTAAGTGCAAACAACAATTCAAAAACAAAGAACCCCATGCTGCTCCAAACGAAAAGGGTCCATCTCCAGTTCCAGAGTAATCTCTTGAAAAGAGGAAGTTCAGCCTCAAGCTTTAGTGATGCAGCGTATATCTCTGGGATGCCTGCACCACGACCAAGCTCTGCTCTTTGCTCTAGAATTATCCTTACCGCAGTTGTTGGTTCCAAACCTTGGGTGATACCCCTCATCTTCAGTCTAATAACCTGAGATTCCGATGAGTAGCCAGACAAAAACGAAACGCTTTGGAGAAAAGTCTCTATGAAGTGCATGTGCACGCTCTTGAACTTGAGCATGCATGGTTGACTTGAAGTTGAGATCACTTTGCCATCAGCAGAGAGAAACTCTGCCTTTACCTAAGTAAGATCATAAGAAGGTACATTAGATTGAAATAACCATCTATTTAAACCAGGGGTAAAATTCATAAGCCAGTGTAACAATGCAAACCCCCGTCATAAGTGTCCAGTTCAGAATGCAAGCCAAAGAAGAGCAGAAGGAAACACAAGTCATTCTCCTCCTGTTATCTTTAATCAGCCATTTATATAGAACCTCACAAAGCAGAACAGAGGTCATAGTCGTTGTCACAAGACACTATACTTATGAGATGAAATGCAGAAGTATAACATTGTTAGCATCAAGTCATGTACAATACTTTGATTGGATATCATTTAATTGTCCTTCAGCATGTACGGTGAAACTGCAGTGTAACTGATCGAAAATGCAGGTCATTGAGATAAACAACAAAACAGAAGATAAACACCTATAATGCAGGTATCTTTTCATCAAAAAAAAAAGCAAAACCTCTCAATGCAAAATATAGTTCACAATTGTTGTCTTCTCCTTATAAAAAAATGTTCTTTTCATTAGTCAAGATACAGATATGAGATGAAATGCAGAAACATGGTTCTGCCTACATTGTTAGCATCACTTTATTTACAAAGCTTCAATCAGATGTTATTTTTGTTCTTGGAGATAATAAACATAGTAGAACCAGGGGAGAAATTTATAAATGAGTATATAATGCAAACCCCCAAAGCCGTGTCTACAACTGAAAATGCATGTCATGGAAGTTTGAAATAGAACCAAGACCCTTCCAAATCAGTACTTCTGTATCAAACATTTAATTTATCTTCTCATTAATCAAGCATATTATGCAATTAAGAATAAAATGAGGAAACATGCTTCTGTGGTTCTGCCAACATTATTAACACCAATTCATAAATAAAGCTTCAATTAGAAGTCACTCTTTAAAGCTTCAATTAGAACTCACTCTTTTCATGGTAACAAATGACTTTTTCCAAAGGGAATTACTATCATGCAAAGTTGCTTTCACAAGAACCTGCAGGACATATACCTGGAAAACACCAAGCCTCCGGTTGTAATCAGACTCTGGCAGTGTCAGCGATACCTCAAGCTGCATCCGCTGATTCGGGGGAACCAACCGCGGCACCGGCACAAACGCCATTGGGCTAGGTTTTGTGTAATCAAAATTCAGGGTCTCTGACACTTGAACAGGTTCTTCAACAATTCTTCCCACCAAAAGACCCTCTCCCACGAATGCCATAATCAGCAATGCACACAGAACCACGCAGACATATGCAGCCCAGAACGACCCCCACACAATCCTCTGCGCCACCTTCCGCACACCCTCCCCTCCAAGACGTGCGATCAGAGTGCCCGCGGCGTCCCCAGCCACACCGAGCACCCACGCCCTCGCGCGCCGCGCCAGACCGAGCGGGTCGGTCACGTAGAGGAACCACCATTGCAGCAGCCGGACCGGGAACGCGAGGCAGCTGATGAGCGCGCTGACCTGGAAGACCACAGCCTTAATAACGAGCACGGCGAGGTACTCGAGTATGCTCGGGGCCGGCGTCGGCGTCGGCGTAGGAGCACGCGCCTCAACCTCAACGTCCGCATCCGCACCCGTGGCCTTATTGTGCTCCTCTTCCTCCTCCTCCTCCACCTCGGATGCGGGGACAGTGCGGGGGGCGGCGCTGGTGGCCTCGGAGGAATCGGGCTTGAGAGGCTCGTCCTCGACGGCGGTGACGGTGGAGGTGGCTGCGGAGGCCGAGGGAGAAGGGGAGAGGACGGAGTCGGGCTGCTTTAGACTTTTTGCGCGGCGCGGGCGGCGGCGGAGTGTGGAGGAGGAGGGGGTGTGGGGAGGGGGAGCGGAAGGGGAAGGGGGAGGCGAAGGCGAAGGCGAAGGGGAGGGGAGCGAGTCAAGGGCGTCGAAGAAGGTGTCGTCGGAGGAGGATGCGGTGGCAGCGGAAGGGTCGTCGGCGTCCATGGGCGGGCGATCGGTGAGATGGATGGTCGTGGTGGTACGGAATCGGGACGAGGAGGCGGCGGTGTCGAAGCATTTGCGAGGAGAATTCGTGGAGGGAGAAGAATCCGGAGGCTTTTAACGTGTACCTTCAAAAAAAAGATGCCACCCTCCTCAAAAGTTAGTCGTCACCTATATACCCTCGCTTAAATTTTTCTTTTCCCTCACGTTATTTCGTCGGCATTCGCTCCTAACGGTGGGTAACGGCTCTGGAGAATGACTCGGTTGTCCTTGGACTTGTATGAGTGTCTGAACTTTTTCGTTTTCCCTATGCCATTGTCAGGTCAATTGGCTTTGGCGTCAAAGACGCCGCTGTTGGCGCCAAAAGACAGGGATTTAGAGTCAAAGAGCCTGCCCTGTGGATCAGCTCCCATCTTGCTCCCGTTCATGATCACCAACCCTGTGGATCAGCTCCAAGGGCAAAGCAGCTACGGAGATCAGCACTTGAGGCAGCATGTTTTGTCTGAATCTACTCAACAGGTTAGGGGCCGAATCACAACTTTGCTACAGAGTATATATAGATGCATATGTGTGTAGCATCCAAGGAAAGCTACTATAAATTTATAGCAATATTCTAAATTTATATCTTAGCATGCATAATAATATATTTATTTTGTTCGTTGTCATTTGTATTCTGTCAGTTTACCGATCGGATGATGATGAGCGGATCAGAAGTCTTCCCTACTAGGCCATCGCCGTTCCGGCAGACTATCCAAAGCATCGATGGTGACATGACCCAGCGATCTGCGTATGATCCATATGATATAGAGAATAATAAGCACATCGAAGGATTGCGCAGCGGCGGCTGGACAGTGTCGTCGTCACCGCCAGCAGCAAAGATGAAGATCACGCGGAGGAAGGCAACGAGCGAGTATCCCGAGGGCCGTGGTGGGGCAGCAAGAAAGCCAAGGAGAAGACCACAAGCGCACCAAGATGAGAGCCAGCTACTGCCGCATCAGCAGCAGGCTATGGGTGTCGTTAGAGTGTGCTCCGACTGCAACACCACAAAGACCCCCTTGTGGAGTGGTCCTTGTGGCCCCAAGGTGAATTACCAATGCAATTGGGAAATAAAAAGCCCTGATCTGTGCTCGTTTGAGGTTTTCAGAACAAGTAGTTACATTTTTGCAACCTAGTACCACATATAACCAAGGTAATAAATAGCGGTGGTAGCGGCCGCAATAGTGGTAGCGTTCCATTGCCGCCACCGCTACAAGTTAGCGCTCTGAACTTTGCGGCCGTAATTTTGAATAGCAAGCGATATTGCGGGCCGCAATTACACGTAGCAGGCCGCAGTAGCGTGGAAGCAAATAATATGTTTCTTTGCAAACTCTTAATGTGATGATTTAATGCGTGGAACACCATGTTTGTTTTATTAATTTAAATATGTGAGACATCAGTTCTTTGAGTGTAATTAAATATCTATTTATACTCATTATTTATGATATATGTATTTAAAATTATGTGAGATTATCAAGTGCCGCTTTGAAACTTATCATCCGCAATATCGCCCGCAATCCGCAATCCACTACCTCGACGCAAATCCGCTACCAACCCGCTATACGCTATTTATTAATTACCTTGCATATAACACATTCATGAGCTAGCGTGTTTATTTTCCTCTTGTTAATGTGTGTTGTGTTTTGCCCTTTGCATGGTGCAGTCTCTTTGCAACGCATGTGGCATAAGGCAAAGGAAGGCGAGGCGGGCGATGGCGGCCGCCGCGGCAGCTGCTGCCAGCGACGGAGGAGCTCCACAAGCGGCCACCCAGCAGCCGAAGCCGGCCAAGAAGGAGAAGAGGTCGGACGTTGACCGGTCGTCGCTGCCGTTCAAGAAGCGGTGCAAGATGGTAGTTGTCGATCACGCTGCTGGTGGTGCAGCCACTGAAGAAGCGACGACGACACCAGAAACCGCTGCTCCGACCAAGGATCAGGCGGATCATCACGTCTCCAGTGGCAAGCAGGTTAATGGCCATGCCGCGACGAGTCTGCAGAGCAAGATCGTCGCCACTCCTCCCCAGGCGATGTCGTCGTTTCATGCCTTCCCGGCTGACGACACTACTACAGAATGGACCTGTTGTCCCGGGCGGTAACAGCCTTTAGTCCCGGTTACCGCGCCGGGACAACGATCCCGGGACTAAAGGTGGAACCTTCGGTCCGGGTCATCAGCCGGGATTAAAGAGGGACTTTTAGTCCCGGTTGGTAACACCAACCGGGACTAAAAACCCTCGACCCAGCGAACACTGGCGCACCCTTTAGTCCCGGTTGGGGTTACCAACCGGGACTAATGAGTTCACCCTTTAGTCCCGGTTGGTAACCCCCAAACTGGGACTAACGATTCCTTTTCTTTTTCTTTTTTTTTTTGTTTAATTTGTTTTTAGTTCAGTTACACGTATTTGTTTAATATATAATATGTTTTTATATACGTATTCTACGTTGCTAATATAAATACACGCATGGCATATAATTACATCTAATTCTCATCTTGAGCATTATTATATTGAATAAAGTATGAAACTATATATATTATATATATATATATATATATATATGTGTATATACAACACTTTCATAATCTTGTTCTCGAAAATAACGATATCAATAAACATTTAATTTACATCATTTATTCCTTAAGATCAAAGTAGAACTCGCCGTTGGGATTTAGCACTTTTTCTAGAAGATATCCTGCTATTGACTCTTGAAGCGCTTTCAGATGGTCTTTTGCATGACCCTTCGTTTCAACCATTCAGGTCTTGCATTTGAAATAAAAGGAAAAGTATTAATACACATATATGTATATATATTCTTTTAAAATAAATAAATATTGATATATCGTACTCGAGGACATCTTCAGGAGTTCTTCTTATATGCGTGATGATAAATTCACAAACGTAGTATCCACACAAGTTATTACACGGTTCTGCCGCCATAAACACCTTTGCATACGAGAAGAAGATTATTCTCATCATCTCACATGTAAATTGAAGTACGATATAGTAATTAAACACGTGGGGAAGTGTATATAGTACAACTTCTTTGGTATTTCAACTACATTAAGTGGTGCCTTGCAATCCTTGCGATGTTGCCGAATAAACTCTTTCCAAACCATATGCGACCAATAATATACGATCGTTAATAAATTATGGCAAAGTCTATTCAATAATAGTTGTGCTTGCGAGAGATCGAAATTACCCTGGATAATATCTATCATATCTTGGTATAGTGCCCGTTCTTTTCTCAACGAGTCAAAGATTAGTAACCGACTTGAGTTTAACTCAATGACAATGAGTATCCAAAGTGATAACACATTGAATGTCTCTCTAGATACAATTTTTTCTCTCTCTCAACACATGAAAATAAGTACATGTATATATACATATAGAAATAATTAAGTACATATGTATACCATATAGAATCTCTCTCTAGATATATATAAGAGATAGAATATATAATTACTAAATCCAATTAAATAAATCCAACATGAAATTAGATAAACTAGTAATAGATAATACATTTTAAAAATCTAACTAACTAAAAATTACCTAAAAACTAACATATATCACCTAACAATCTAACTAACATATATCAATTATCTAATAAATCTAACTAACTAAAAATCTAACTAACATATATCAATTATCTAATAAATCTAACTAACTAAAAAATCTAACTAACATATATCAAAAACTATCTAAAAACTAACTAAAAAACTAAATAACTACTAAATATTGTTTATTAGTATTATCTAAAAAACAATGAAAAATCCAACATTATAATCGATTTATGGCGGGCAGTCAGGTAAGGGAGGCGAGTTTCGACGAGGGCAGGGCGAGCAAGGCTCGGCGACAGTAGACGAGGCCAGGTAGGCGAGGCTCGGCTCGACAGCAGCCGATCGAGAGCTTGATGAGAGATCGAGTTCGACGGCGGCGGTGGTAGGAGGAAGCCTCGGCTGACGGAGGTGGGATCGGGTCTGTGGCGGAGGCAGGATCTTGGCGCGATCTTGGCCGGGAGAATGGCGTGGCCGGGGGGGGAGTAAACGACGGCAATGGCGGCGGAGAGGCGAGCTCGACGGACGGCGGATGGCGCGGCCGAGACGAGATCGAAGATGAAACAGAACAGACGTTCGATATATATAGGCGGGACCCTTTAGTCCCGGCTAGTAACACCAATCGGGACTAAAAACCCTTTAGTCATTTGGTATTACTCACCGGGACTAAAGGCCCAACCCTTTAGTCCGGTTGGTTTGACTAGCCGGGACTAAAGGTATTTTTGGCGCCAAGAGCGAAATTGCCGCCCACCCTTTAGTCCCGGTTCTTAGTCAGGGCCGGGATGAAGGCCTAAAAGTTTTGGCAACCCGCCAACAGTAATTGGCACTGGGTTTTGATTTTGTTTAATACTAGGTTAAACAATTAATTCCATATCAACTTCAATACTTTGCAATATTTATTTTAAAAAATACTATTGATTAACTAATTATTTATTGTAAATAGGAAAATTTTGTAACCTAAAGTTTTAATTTCTTTTATGAATATAGAATATAAATGTTACTAATACTAAGTATTTTGTTAATGCAAAAATATATTTGTAACTTAAAATTAATAAAACTAATATTATTCGATAGGAAATTTATTATCACATTATTGTAACGTCAATGTTTCAATTTTTTTTTCGGTTTTTGACCAAAATTGACAGGAAATTTTTGTTAAACCTATAAAATAAAGAAAATATAGTATTTTTGTTGTACAACTTTTTCAAATGAAAAATGAACTATATAAGGATTGTTGTTTTTTCAATTCGACCAAAATTAACAAACTTGGTATTCAAAACTTTTCAATTCGAAGTCATTTAGAGTCCATAATACTAGGGTCAAAGTGTTTTTTTTTCATTTGACCAAATTTGACTTGGTCAAACTTGCTCAAATGAGACACTAAATGACCTCAGATGAAAAAACTCTGAATACCAAGTTTGATCATCTCAGCAAGATCTACAATTGTTACATAGATCATTTTCCCATTTGAGAAATTTTTATCAAACACTAGTCACAATTTTCCTTATCTCTTATAGACTTCTAAAACTATGTCACACACTTGTGAAAATTGAACTACATTTTGTTCAAGCTTTCTCAAATGAAAAAATGGTCTATATAAGGATTGTAGATATTGATGATATGAACAAACTTGGTATTCAAAACTTTTCAATTTTAGACAATCTAGGGTTAGAAAACTAGTTTGTAGGCGTCAAAATTTAAAAATCATAAATTTGAACCGTCCAAACTTTCTCAAATGGAAAGTTGACCAAAACAACAATTGTAGATCTTTTTGAGTTTAACAAACTTGGTATTCAAAACTTTTCAATTCGAAGTCATTTAGAGTCCATAATACTAGGGTCAAAGTGTTGTTTTTTCATTTGACCAAATTTGACTTGGTCAAACTTGCTCAAATGAGACACTAAATGACCTCAGATGAAAAAACTCTGAATACCAAGTTTGATCATCTCAGCAAGATCTACAATTGTTACATAGATCATTTTCCCATTTGAGAAATTTTTATCAAACACTAGTCACAATTTTCCTTATCTCTTATAGACTTCTAAAACTATGTCACACACTTGTGAAAATTGAACTACATTTTGTTCAAGCTTTCTCAAATGAAAAAATGGTCTATATAAGGATTGTAGATATTGATGATATGAACAAACTTGGTATTCAAAACTTTTCAATTTTAGACAAAAACTAGTTTGTAGGCGTCGAAATTTAAAAATCATAAATTTGAACCGTCCAAACTTTCTCAAATGGAAAGTTGACCAAAACAACAATTGTAGATCTTTTGAGTTTAACAAACTTGGTATTCAAAACTTTTCAATTCGAAGTCATTTAGAGTCCATAATACTAGGGTCAAAGTGTTGTTTTTTCATTTGACCAAATTTGACTTGGTCAAACTTGCTCAAATGAGACACTAAATGACCTCAGATGAAAAAACTCTGAATACCAAGTTTGATCATCTCAGCAAGATCTACAATTGTTACATAGATCATTTTCCCATTTGAGAAATTTTTATCAAACACTAGTCATAATTTTCCTTATCTCTTATAGACTTCTAAAACTATGTCACACACTTGTGAAAATTGAACTACATTTT